CACCCATATAAGTTCGGAACAATAGGAGATAAGGCCGGATGTACTAAAATTAGGGTTTTTAATCTTTAAGCCAAAATGTTTCTTTTTCACTAATTTTTAACAAGTAAAATTATTATTTCATGTGTGACATAAACTAAGGAAGCACCGATACAATTTTTTTGGGTAAAAAAATACTGGTCAGACACTGACACGCATCTGACAAGCAGTCAACGCTCTGACACTTGATCAATATTTTTCAACACATTTTTTTAAGATCTAAATTTTATTTTATCTTTTTAACTAAATATGAAAAGTTAATTTATAAATCAAATATTTTCTGTTATGAAATTTGACATAAAAAATTAATTATGCATAAAAAATTATTTTTAGTTTATATTTATGTTATGAAATTTTAATATTTGATTAAGTTTATGACCTATTATGAGCTGCTATATGTATTAAGTGTAAACTGTATTATATATATTACAAATATTATTTATCATCTAAACATGTCATAATATGTCAAAATTTTAAAATTAACATGTCAGTGCAGTGTATAGTGTCGTGTCCTATCCCGTATCATATGTCGGTGTTGGTGCAACATAGATATAAACAACAATAAACATCTTTCATGCCAAGAATGTCTATGAAGGTTTGCAATCAAGAAAATATTATCAATAACTAAATATTCCGACATATTATATATGTGATTTATATATATAAAAGAAGGGTTTTATATCTATAATGTTACAGGAAAAAAAGTGTGTCCTGCAATTGGTGCTACGACATCGTTTTACACTTTCGTTGAAATCCCTTTGTTTTTTTTTCTTTCTTCTTCCCGCGAGAAGAGTAACTCAGTCCATAACTCAGTCCACCACAGTTTCGCTCTACCATGGTTGCGCTCCACCACCACCGTGCAATACCAACACCGCATCCCGTCATCGCCATGTAGCACCGCCACGACTCCCAGACGTAGTTAAAGACAAGGTTATGTGTCATTCTTCATCTCCACAACCAGGAAAAAAATATAATCTTGCAAAATCCCAATGTAAGTTCGACTGAATCTCTTTTTTTTTGTTGGGTGTCTGATTAAATGAGTCAAGGCATCTCATAAATTGTCTATTCACCACATAAGGGTTATGGTAGTGAAAGTAGGTTAGGATGCAAAGGGGTAGGGGTCTAACTTTCAAATAAACTCAATCCCCTTGGAGCGCTGCTATTCAACAAGCGATTTGCTGAATTTTGCAAGATTATACCTCGCTGCACCCCAACCACCAAGCGATTCAACAACCGATAACGACAGCTCTTCTCATGGGGTAACGGTTCCCTATAAGCTTCCTCCTTGGAGCGCTGCTCTCTCCCATGAATTATACCTCAAGGTTCTCAAGGACGGTTCCATCATCGACAAATTCAATGTGTTAGTCTCTCTCTGCCTCGCTTTATTTGCTTAATTTTGCATGTGCTTTCTTTAAGGTTTGTTGCTGAAATTGCAGCTTGTATTGTTTTTTTTTTGTTTTTTTTTTGTTTTTTTTTTTTGCACAGGTATGAGAAAGGGGCTTACATGTTTGGGCGATTGGATCTCTGTGACTTTGTGCTTGAGCACCCCACTGTTGGAGCATTAGCAGCAAATTTACAACCCAGAACTTGCTCTTTGCTTAAGGTGAATTTCATTCCTAGTGGGTTTTATTTTTTATTTTATTTTTTGGTATCCTACGTTTTTAAATTTTAAATTTATTATTGAGCTTCACTAAAAAGTTATTTGTTCATATGTAAAACTGAGGAATCATAATACAAAATTATAAAATTTATGATTTTTCATGCATCAAAATCCAAGGTAACTCTTAATTTATAATATTTTGCAGTTTTAATTTTTCTCCATGATGGATCACTCTCAAATTCTAACTATTGAAGATATTGACATGAGTGACAGTTTAGTATGTGTAGATGATATTGTTGATTTGGAAAAAGATACGGATGAATTTGGAGAAGATGATCTTTGTGAAATCATGGCAAACAACGATGGTGAATGCGGGGAAGTTAATGCACATGAAATTGTGGAAGATGTTGATACTGAATTAAACAAGACCCCAATTTTAACTAGAGTTTTTGAGACATCAGAAGATGCTTATGCTTTTTATAATGCTTATGCAAAAGGCAAGGGGTTCGGAATACGCAAGCAATACCATAACAAGAGTACAATTACAAAACAAATATATAGGTGGAATTATGTGTGCTCGAAGCAAGGTGTCAAGAGACTACATGATAAAAAAGCTGATGTTGACAATGTCAAAAGGCAAAGGGATACAAGGACTAATTGTTTGGCAATGTTGCAAGTAAAGTTGGTGGATGGCATATGGAAAGTGGAGAAATTCAATGATATACACAATCATCCAATGATTAACACTCCAACAAAGGTGAAGAAGTTTCTTTCTCAGAATGAATTGAGACGCTCAGATTTGACAAAATCTGTTGTTTCTAAGCTATATCAAGAGGGTTTAACATCTTCGAAAATCTCAAAGGTTGTGAGTGCTATGAACAAAGAGGTTAATCTTACTCCAGTTCAAATCAATAGTATTATATCTAGCCAGCGAAAGAATAATGTGGGGCGAGAATGTCAGGGCATCATCAAACATTTTCAAAAGAAGTCCATGGTTGATGGAGCTTTTTATTTTGATATGGATTTGGCAGAAGATGGAACATTAAGAAGCGTATTCTGGGCAGATGGTAGGTCAAGAACTGCATATGCTCATTTTGGTGAAGTCCTTGTCTTTGATGTGACTTACAAAACAAACAAGTTCAGGTTTCCTTTTGCTCCTTTTGTGGGGGTTAATCACCATGGGCAGACAATTTTATTTGCTGCCGCTTTGTTAGAAGATGAAACAGAGGCAACATTTACGTGGTTGTTTGAACAATTTCGGACATGTATGTTTGGCAAGTCTCCTATTGCTATTATTACTGATCAAGATAAAGCTATGGGAAAAGCAATAGCCAAGATATTTCCAGGATCACGACATCGTTTTTGCGCTTGGCATATAAAGAAACATGTTATGGAGCATAGTCAAGCACTACGCGCACAATTTAAGGATAGTTTTGATGATGACTTCCGTTCATGGTATAAAAGTCGAAACATAGATGAGTTTGAAGACAAATGGGAAGTATTGAGGACTAAATTTGATATTAAAGCAGGTATATTTTGTATGCTAACATGTATGCTTGACGTCACCATGTTAACATATATTTTGTATGCTAACATATATTTTGTATCCAAAAAAAAAAAGCAGGTAGTTGGTTGGCTAACATGTATGCTTCACGTCACCATTGGGCAAAAGCATACTTGAAAGATATATTTTTTGCCGGAATGACCACAAGTGGCCGAAGTGAAAGCATCAATGCATTTTTTGATGGATATGTCAACTCTAACACAATGTTAAATGATTTTGTTATCCAGTATGACAAAGCAATCAAATCTAGGAGGGATGCGGAGGAAGATGAGGATTTCAAAACTAGAAATACAAAAGCAGTTTTGGAGACTAATCATCCTATTGAAGCAATAGCTGGAGAACGGTACACAAGAAAATTATTTGAAATTTTCAAAAAGGAGTGGAAGGCTGCCATACTTGATTATTTTCATGAAAAGATTGCAATGAATGAAAACCTTATCATGTACCGAGTGGGGTCTCCTGAAGTTGATAAAGAGTGGTGGGCAATTGTCAAGTACCATTTGACAGAAAGCTTCACAGCTCAATGTTCCTGTGCAAAGTTTGAGACTATGGGGATTTTGTGTAAACATATTCTATACATTATGAAGAAGAAACAAATAATGACCCTTCCCGAGAAATATATCTTGTCTAGATGGACTATGAATGCAAGCTATAAGGCTGAAAATATTGTATCCATTCAAGATGAAACAAATCTTAATGAAATTAGTGCATTGTATTTGTGGTCGATTCATTCGAAGTGCACTATGGCTATTTCTGAAGCAAGAGATTCTATTTTTGAGATTAAAATGTTTGATGCTATGGTTGCTGAATTTTTGCAACGACAGTTGGAAAGAAAAAGAAAAAGAGGTGAAGATGAACTAATTACTGAAATGATTCCACAAGCTTCACTCATTAATGATGTGCGTGATCCCACTCAACCAATCAAAACCAAAGGGCGTCCAAAGGTTGCTTCACGAATAAAATCAAGCATGGAGTTATCGACTAAACAACAAAAAACTTGTAGTTATTGTCGAGGGAAGGGTCATAATAAAACAAGTTGTCAGATGTTAAAGGTACTCTTTTTAAATTTGCTATTTGTGTTTGTGATTTTCTCGTTAATCTTGATGAAAAATTTGTGAAGTTTCATTTGTAGATGGAAGTTTCAAGAGAGAAGCAAACAAAATAGTGTCAGATGCACATATTTTCATGGTTTTATTTTGGTAAGAGCGTATTTTTGATGACTCTATTTTGGTAAGAGCATATTTTTGATGACTTTATTTTGGTAAGAGCATATTTTTGATGACTTTATTCAATGACTTGGTCTTATCGGTAGTGGTTGCATGATGAAAATCTTCTTCAACATAATACTTGTTTATCCCTTATAGTTTTAACTTTAACATTTCAATGTATGTGTGTACTTGAATACTTAATACTTTTTTTTACTTATTTTTCAGGAAATATTTTGGGGCACTGCTGGTTTCATTTGTATATGGACATATTAATACCAGAATTTCACAATCTTTTTGTAGGGCACTATTGGCTGGCGAAGTGACTACCAGAAACACTATGGGTTTCAAATGTATATGGATTAATTTTTTTGTGTATATCAATCACTGTGATCAAGTGTAAAAGGATATGATTTTTTTGTGACTTTGATTAGATTTGATAATCAAATGCAAAGTCAACTGCTGATTTTTGATTTGTACAAAAGAACTTCAATGCATATAGCAAGTGTAATATATCAAAGTTAGAAATGAATGGAGTTGCTCAAATTATAATTGCTCAAATTGAAATTGCTTTCAATTATCCCAAAATGAGTAATATCGTAATAATTACAAAAGCCATTCTATATATCTAGCAACTATTAGCTTCATCTATTTGTTTAGCCCAACAAAGGCATTTAACTATTAAAAGTTTCTAAATCATCTATGAAAACTTTGGTTGATGATCCAGAATTGGCAATCCCCATCCACTGTTCTTTAATCAAGGAAAGTGTATGCTGCAATTCTTCTCATGATCAAGCCATCCATTATTCAGAGAGTCTGTAGAGGGAGAAGTCATCAGCATGTGTCTTCTGTCAATTGCTTATGAACAATTAGAAAGGCCCTGTATATTCTCAAACTTGGACTTTATCACTTCCATGGTTGTTTCAGTTGAAGGCCAATAATATACTATATTTGTCTACTTCTTTGTAGATTTGCTCGATAGAGATTGGGTATATGCAGTTCCCTGGGTGTCACAATGTAAGGCACAAAAAGCAGTATGAGAATAACAATAAGGTTATAGGTTACATCAAGAATTAGATATGTGTCAATTTTTGTGTGGCCAAAAGTATGGCAAGAAGAAAAAAGATAGGAGACATCTTAAACTTAAGAAAGAGGACAAAAGTTCACCATGACATCCAATAGAAATAGGTATCACAGAAAATAAAGCATTAGCACAAACCTGAAGCCACTCATCCATTGAGGCATCTGTAGTTTTAGTCCCAACTTCAACTTTTGGAGCTCTTTTTTTTTCTGAGCAAATATTCACATGCATACATGAGATCAGAAGGAGAAATGAAATCATAGTCATTTGGTAAATGATAATATTTTTTAAAAATATAAAAGATTGTAATACCTTAGATAGGTGTTGTATTTGACCATGAATCAACAGCCCAAAGAGGACAAGAAGGGCAGCTCCAGGAGTAACAAGAAAAACATATTTCATGCTGAGAAAAGCACCAACCTCAACAACTTCAATAGTAAAATTATAAAAAGTGTTTTGGTTTGGTGCAGCATATATATGTCTCACCAAATTAGATATAGTGTACATACAGTCAAGGAGATTAACATGAGGTATGAGAATATACTCTTCAATACCTCTCGGTTCTTTATTTTATGGTTTCTTAGTTTACTATGAGAAATAAGCATTTCTTTATTTTTTTCTTAATTATTAATATTTTTTGGTTAATTTGTTGTAGTACATCGTGAAAGGAGGGAGGGATTTGTTCCATTTGCTACCGGATGCTTTCAAGGGGATTAAGCAGATTGGTGTCATTAGATGGGGTTCACAGGTTAATATTTTTGATGTTGTAAATTTTAACTCAATTTTCCATTCAAATTCTAACTGTGAAAACTTAAAAGAAAATTTATTGTTTCTCCAATCCTCCAATCCAAGTCTTAAAAAGTTTTAACTCTTGGCAAGTCAACTCTTTCAATTGTAGGGAACAAAAAACATAAATAAACTCATTCTAGTTCTGTTAGACTTCTCTTCAATAGTTCAACTACCAAAGGTATTTGGTAACAAGACACAAAATAGCAGAAGTTACAAATCCTTTATTTATTTCTTTTCCTTTTTTTTCATATCTTTCTTTTATGGCTTGACAATTGATTAGAACTTATAAGTCAAACAAATAACTGGAAAAAAATTCAATGTCATTTTGTAAGACCATCATCAACACTATGTTTAATGCTCAGTTGATCAGGAATATAAATAATCAAACATAAATTCAGGTCAAAAGCTTCTCAATGTTTCCATACAGAGATTGCTACAGAAATTAATTTAAAGTGAATACTTTAAAAAGCAAATGATGAGCTTTATACGAATATGAAAGATGCTAGAATTATGGTGTCAGTGGTGATGTCAAAAAGGCCTTTTGTTTGGTGCAGCATTGTCAGTTTTACATATGAACAAATAAATTTTTTAGTGAAGCTCAATAACAAAAAATAAAAAAAATAAAACCCACCAGGAATGAAATTCACCTTCAGCAAAGCCCCTTTCTCATACCTGTGCAAAAAAAAAAAACAAAAAAAAAAACAAAAAAAAAAAACAATACAAGCTGCAATTTCAGCAACAAACCTTAAAGAAAGCACATGCAAAATTCAGCAAATAAAGCGAGGCAGAGAGAGACTAACACATTGAATTTGTCGATGATGGAACCGTCCTTGAGAACCTTGAGGTATAATTCATGGGAGAGAGCAGCGCTCCAAGGAGGAAGCTTATAGGGAACCGTTACCCCATGAGAAGAGCTGTCGTTATCGGTTGTTGAATCGCTTGGTGGTTGGGGTGCAGCGAGGTATAATCTTGCAAAATTCAGCAAATCGCTTGTTGAATAGCAGCGCTCCAAGGGGATTGAGTTTATTTGAAAGTTAGACCCCTACCCCTTTGCATCCTAACCTACTTTCACTACCATAACCCTTATGTGGTGAATAGACAATTTATGAGATGCCTTGACTCATTTAATCAGACACCCAACAAAAAAAAAGAGATTCAGTCGAACTTACATTGGGATTTTGCAAGATTATATTTTTTTCCTGGTTGTGGAGATGAAGAATGACACATAACCTTGTCTTTAACTACGTCTGGGAGTCGTGGCGGTGCTACATGGCGATGACGGGATGCGGTGTTGGTATTGCACGGTGGTGGTGGAGCGCAACCATGGTAGAGCGAAACTGTGGTGGACTGAGTTATGGACTGAGTTACTCTTCTCGCGGGAAGAAGAAAGAAAAAAAAACAAAGGGATTTCAACGAAAGTGTAAAACGATGTCGTAGCACCAATTGCAGGACACACTTTTTTTCCTGTAACATTATAGATATAAAACCCATAAAAGAAAATCTCAAGTGAATTTTGCTATTAATAATTATCTACATATAAAAAATCTAATATTCGTGTTTTTTGCGTCAGTTATGTGTTTGTATATTATTTAATTTTATTGCCCTTGTCGCGAACCTGGGAAAAGATTTAAGAGTAGGGGCCAAACATTCGTGAAGCGGTGGCTTGTTCCTGCGACGCGGAGCATCTGCGCTGTGTCTGGAACCATCTCTTCCTTCCGAGTTGTGACTGTGAGAGCTGTGTCACTTTCGTTCTCTTGTGTCAAGTTATCATCTTTTTCAGTTCAGATGAAAACCCAATACGTGAAGCAACTGCTCCGTAATATCTGTGAGTTCATTTTCTTCTGCTTTCTCATTTTATAGTCGTAGGTTCACTTCAGTCTGATGCTGCATTTGATACGTAGCATCCTCAGAAATCAATGTTTTGAATTTGCTCTCTATTTTTTTTGCATGTGCTATGCTACCACTGAACGGCTTTGTCCCAATTATTGACTTGGATTTTTCTTTTAAAGATGAGTCCATGAAGAATTATGAAAAAGAACTAGAGTAACCCATTAATGAAAATTCAAATCATGAAATACACTCGGTTAAAAGTAAGCTGCTTTGTCAGTTATGATGCACTGATACTCCAAATTGGTGGCGTACTCGTATTTTTTTGGTGGATACCTTAAAATGTTTAGCTAATAGGGAGAGAGGATATTTTAAAGGAAAAAGATAAATGATGAATGACCATATATGTGTGTGTATTGGTAAGATTTTGAACCCATTCTGTTGACTAGGGGGAGAGACCCTAAGTTGGTTTTTTTTTTTTTTTTTTTTTTTTTTTTTTGTGGGGAGTGGAGGATAAGGAAAGGAAAATTGGGATGGATAACAGTTGTAGGGATTGAACAGTGCTGATATTCGCTATTACGCATACCTATTTCTGATATCCCATTGATTTCAGTGAAGTTCAATATAGTATACGAGTTTCCATCTTAATTCTTGTTTGATTCAACCCAGATCCTATCAATTGGTATCAAAGCCCTCGATTGGGAGTTGTGGTATTGGATTTAGAGATGATTCTAGAATTTGAAAGAGAATAAGCCATTGGTGGCTGATCAACGTTGAGCATCATTTCAGAGCGGAAGGAACACATGAAGCTGAGAAGATTCCCAAATCTGCAAAGGCATTGAAGGAACGTGCTTAGATTCGGTACAATTGTTGGAGATGGTTCTATCCAAAGGCCTTTGGTGGAACCTCTTTAAGGAATTGTTCAAGCGACTTCAACTAGTGCACGATCCAGATTTATACCTTTGGGATGAGGAAGTAGAAACAGAACATTGAGAAGAAGCACAAGGTTGACAAAGAGGAGATCAGAGGATCTCTCCGATGTGCAGACAAGAAGAATCACATAGGTAAACCAAGGAAGAAGACGAGCTGTCCATGAAAGGTCAGGCACATGAGAAAGGAGTGTCGGTGATGCCAATACTACCACCAACGGAGGTGGCCAACCCACCACCCACACCTGAACCCACCCTCTGACTCCGACCTTTCTCCATTCTCTGTACATCAAGATTCAATCACGAATAGTAAAAATGAAAACAATGGCAACGAATCCGCCCGTACCTTTGGAACCTGAACCCAAATCCCACATTCGTGGAACATGACCCGAACCCGAATTGTCAAATGATGAACTGTAACCCGAATCGTCAAATGATGAACTATGTAACATATTTATATATATATTTACATATTTAAATATATTTTTTTAATATAACTTGCGGACTTGTATATTTCAAAGAAATTGTTGTACTGACATATCATATTGAATACATATTCAAACTTGTATCCATGTAACATGGTTTGCCTTTCAAACAATTACTTCGTATGGTCATTGGGCACCATAGAACACCTTTTGTTCAAGGTCCCACTATTGGGGTGTACCTTGGAGAAGCCACATGGGGCCCTACGAGAAAGGAGAAGGGGAAAAGGATGGGAAAAGAGATAGAGTGTATGGAGGAGTTTGAACTCATGTACTCTTGTTACATGACTCACAACTCTACCAACTAAGCTGTCTCAAGGGAACTACAGAATGCTTGTTTACTCGCAGATCATATATCATTTATGCAAGAGAACTGTTGAACTATGCACTATGGCCTGTATTGTGTGTTATCAATCTGGTTAGGGGTGGATGCAGTACTATCTTGCTGCAAGATTCATGAAGAACTGATATCCCCAAATGTCTTATCAGAATGGATCCTAAGTGTCTATAGCCTAGTATTTAAGTTTTGTCATTTACTTAATACAATTTTCTTGCTAATAAATACTAGCTAAATATTCACATCTATTTTTTTATTCAATGCGCAGATTCTACCAAATTTTTTCTGAATAGAGAAGAACCATATCGGAACTATATTCATAGTGTTTTCAACCGGCTTCAATTGCCAAGGTCAAGTGCAGACAAGGCGGAAGATGATAAGCTAAAAGAAGAGCAAGAAAAACGTCAAATATCTTTCAAGTCTGAAGTTAAGAAGAAGGCAGACGACAGTTATGTGATTAGCAAATACAGTTCTGATGATGAAGTTCCCTCGGATAATAAGTGGAAGTTAGAGCTGGCTTGGCTCACAAAGGCACTTGAACCAGCTCTGCAATTTTGTAGGCGGGCTCTGCCAACAGGTCGGTTAAGTGTTAACTTTAAAGCACGTTTCATCTGATGAATTTAGACAGCGGAATGACTGCAACTTGCAAGTACTTTTCTGTTTTAAACATAGAATGTATAATTATGTAATTATTATAGATTTATTTTTCTCCATTTATTAGACAGATTATGATAGGGCAGATTATAGGGAAGATATGTGACACGTGATAGGCCTGACTTACTCGTTATTTCTTTCCCTAGAATGAACATTGTATTAGGAAAGCTATTATTCACATTAGTCTATAAATTGTAAACATTTGTACATGAGCATTTTAGTAAATGATTTTCAGATTCAGAATTTCAAATTTCAACTCTTTCTAAAAAAATTTATGTTATAAACAAGCTATGAGTCACAGATGACTCAGTTACATTATCTGATATATTGTAATATTTATCGGGTTTAATATCTCTCATGTTGTGGGAGATAAAATTATCTTCTACACACATAAAAGTGTGTGAGGTTCATTTTTTTTTTCTCTCTCTTCTCTTCACATGACCCCACATGGACCTCACACACTTTTATGTGTATGTAGGAGATAAAATTATCTCCTACAGCATAAGAAACATCAAACCCATATTTATTTGTATCATAAATATATGTTTTTCTTGTGCTTCATAAAAACTTGAGCATACAATGTTCCAGTTTGCTTGATAATAACACAAAGCTGACTCTGTTTTCCATGTTATGTAGGAGATGGAATTGAAAACAAACCCCCACCAACCAGTCGTTCCCTTATGGAAATAATTGCCTGCATTCAACGAAGCAAGATTGGAATCCAGGATTGGAGCTTGAGTGACCTTACGATTGGCTTGTATCTGATATATCTTCGTCAAGCTTCTACACATCCATTTGAAGATATCAAAGGCATTCAGATTTCGTCAGAATCAATAGTAACTTCTGAAACTGTATTTTAGAGGCAGAGGGCATATATGTTCATGTGATATTGTGATCTTATATTGTTAATTTTAACATATTGCTGTAAATTATTGTGGTCCACTACATGCTTGATTCTTATGAACATATCTTATTGGATTTCAGGTTCAAGATCTCATTTATCATCTGGAGTTGGCTAAAGGTGCTTATAAGGATAATCCTGTAGTTCTTTCAAGAAACAGCATGCTCAGAGAAAGTAATGTCATAAAATTTGTTAGGAACTCCAGTATAATGAGGCCTGCGTATTATATAGGGGTTGATACCCGTAAAAAGCTTGTAATTTTGGGAATTCGTGGAACTCGTGCTGTATATGACCTTATCACTGATATTCTTTCATCAAGTGATGGTGAAGTCACCTTTGAAGGCTATTCAACCCACTTTGGCACTGCTGAATCTGCTCGTTGGTTTCTTCATCATGAGATTGAAATCATAAGAAAATGTTTGGAGAAACATGAGGTGGGGATGGTCTTACTTTATCTATTTTGGTTTCCATTTCATAGTTTACCTGTTTTTTTAAGTCAGAGTGTGAGTGTGAAGTGTTGCTAAATCATTAACAGGGATTTAGGTTAAGACTTGTGGGTCATTCTCTGGGAGGTGCTATAGCTTCTTTATTAGCAATAATGATCCATAGAAAATCATCAAAGGAACTGGGTTTTAGCCCTGACATTGTATCTGCTGTTGGATATGGAACTCCACCATGTGTTTCCAGAGAACTTGCTGAAAGCTGCTCTGGCTATGTAACAACAGTAGTGATGCAGGTGTGTGATTGCATTTGACAGTGTCTGCATGACAATATTTGATCTGAAGGAAAGTAATTATATCTATGGAGTTCCTGAGATGAGTCAGATTCTTTTCCCAAGTTTTGTCTGCATTTATCTATTGTGTTTCCCATTTGACTTCTTGTTTTTGTGTATGTACAGGATGATGTTATACCTAGATTGAGTGTAGCTTCCCTAACAAGGCTCAGAAATGAAATTCTTCAAACTGATTGGTGAGTGACATTTAATTTATAATTTTGAACTGAGCGCCGTCCCCTTCCTGTCCCTTAAGAGTATAGGACATGCAGGAAAGCACTCAGGAACCAATTGCATTAGTCTTGTAATAATCTTCCTCATGCATATCAATTTTGTTTTGGAAGTTGGTATTGGCTAAGCAAGATACGGAGTTGAAAATGTGTGGATGGTGACTGAGTATTCCAACAGAGAATTTCTGTAACACTGTAGAGCTTAAATATCTAATATCTAGGAGATATTGATGGCTTCTTAAGCTTTATATGCATTTGGTAGTTAGCTAACAAAAGGTTTGATCAAATATGATATTTTCTTCAGGATGAGTGTAATTCAGAAAGAAGAATGGAAAAGCTTTATAGATTTGGTTACAAATGCGAAGCAGTTTGTGTCTTCGGTGCAAGATGTAGCTCTCAAACTTGCTGATTATGCAAATTTCAGGAGAAACAAAAGTTCATATGGTAAGCTTTTTCTGACTGGTTCAAAGCTTAATTTTCTCTGAAAAAGTGAAATTAGATTCTCATTATACTGGTTCACCATTTCAAGCCTTTTTCAAATACCAAATAGCCTAAAGACCAGTGGCCTTCCTATAAATGATTCTTTTGGGTATAATTATAGTTTTTCTTGTCAGAGAGCAATGCATCAGAGAATTTGTGTTATTGGTGGCTTTCCCAATCTTTAACAAACCCTGTCTTCTGAAAATATATAAATAATAATGAAAAAAATGTTGAGTGGACATCACTACCTTATTTTGTTTCTTTATCATGCTATCCTTCATTGTTTCACTTCTTTGGAGAGTACTTTTCTCATACCTGTTAGGCCATGTACAGTGGCGGAACTGCATTTCAACCCCCTTCCCAATTGTATGGAGTTGCCAGTAATTATGTTGAAGAACCAATCAAACTTCTTTCTTGTGCTCAAGATAAAATATATGGTGCATGATTGCATGCAGTATTTAAGAAGCAAGAAAAGGATATTTGAATGTATAAACATCAACATTTGGCTTCTTTGAACATAAAAAAACCAGTTATTTGATAGTGTAGATATTGCATTGCATTTGTACTTAGAAAATAAAAAACCCAGTTATGTGTGATCTTTCTAACATCAGCTGTTTTGGTGTGTGTGAACAGTTGGTCCCATCAGTAAGGAGTTGCCAGAGTCTACAGAAGCTCCTCTGTCCGCGAAAGCAGCAAAGGAGAATTCAGTTGTCATGAAAGTAAAGGGAACTAAACCTGCAGTTTCTGATGAGTTATTTATACCTGGGACTGTTTACTATCTGAAAAGGAACTTGGGATCGCAAAATGATGTTGGAAATGATTTTTACACCCTTTTGAAGAGGCAACCTGGTGAGCATTTCCAGAGGATAATCCTTTCAGGCAATTTGATCACAGACCACAGAAGTGATAGCCATTATTATGCTTTGAGAGATGTCCTTAAAGGTTTGCCATGGTGCGGCCAGGAAGATATTTTTAGATAGCAAATTTTTTCATTATTTTTTAGTTTTTTCAGGATACTATTTGATTGGAATAAAACTGTGCATTTTGTAACTTGTTTTCTGCATTTAGAGGGTGCCTTACAGCTCCGTAGTCTTTGCAGAGGTGTCAGGAACAGCATAGTAGATTACAAGTTGAGCAATTTGTGTAAAATAGAATAAAAAATATGGATAGTTGTTCCTATCCTCAAAATAAACTTTGCATTAGTTCTGAGTCAAACATTCAATTGTTGATGTGTGTTTCCTTGAGGGCCAATACATTGTGGTTCATGTTTTGAAATTGTTTATGCTCATGTTTTAGATTGAACTAGTGATTTTGTGCAGGTGTCTTTGAATTTTTTTCATCCCTATCTTATTATCTTATTTTGTGTATTAAGTGCTTAATTTTTTTTTCATTAGCTAAACTATTTATACCCTCTTAAAAATCAAGCGTCAAATGTTCAAACCCATGAAGTATAGAATAAGATATAGCACAAAGAAAAAAAGAAAAAAAATCACTTTCTGTTAAACTCGATTAGCGAGTGTGGAATGGAAGTAATCCTTATACACAAATTTACCCTTGCATAATTGCAAAGAGACTGTTTTCTAGATTTGAACTCATGATCTTTCGGTCATGAAAAAATAATTTTACCATTGTTCCAGTTCGCTCCTTTTATATAACTCAAAGAAAATGAGACAAAAAACCTCGACCTAGATTTTTAGGAAATACTTGTTGGCATACATTTTTATATTTGATGAGACACGTTTTCAGTGGATACATCAGCAGTTGGGGATTGGATAATCATACTCCATCATGACTCGCGTAGCTTAAGTGATCAACTGATCATGATTTCATTTCCTTTTATTTTTATTTTTATTTTTTTTGAGTGGGACCGTGATTTCAATTCACCTTGTTTTAGTCATGGAGTAAACTGAATGCATAAATTTACATTTTTTAACTCAAAATGATTGAAGAGCTTTTATTGATTGTGCTTTGTGATGTCAAATGGAAAACTACACTCACATGCTCCTTTTAAAATAATTGGAATATACTCATATATGTCTTTTAGTTATTTGTCGTGCTGTAACTTCTGCTTATGCCAATCTGCGCAAGGACCACTTTTTTCCTTTGGGTTAGAATTTGTTTTGACAATAATTATCTACCTCGGCCAAAGCATAAAGCAAAGGAAGAGTGCGTTCTCTGATAAATGTGTAATCTTGTTGGTATTATTAATTTCCCCCCATTATTACCAACCTTTTTTTTTTTGAGAGAGCATGGGGACCAACCTATATGCATCATATGTGGCGTTTTTTTCTTAATCTCAGAAAGATGTCTACATAAATTTTTTTGTAGTGTTGGCAAAACCAGGCACTTGGGTGCGGGTATCATGTCAGCATCTAAGGTAAAATCCGGAAATTTTTGTTTTTGTTTTGTTTTTGTTTTAATTTTTAGTTGCCATCAAAAGCATGCTCTCCCGTGGCATAAAAAACATGTTTATATTCTATTGCACAAGTGCACAACTTAAACTCAAGGTTTTCTTTGTACCGAACATATGCTAGACCTAATATAATATTATCATGTGAGCTCTGAATTGCTAGAACTAGGTGTCACTGTTTGATTTTCCATTAGATATTTAATTCTTGTAAACTTTTCATGTATTTTAGCTATAGTGTAATGTTGTGATCGTTCTTGGCTGAGGATACGCATGATGATTTATTTTACTTGATAGAATTAACATATAGGATATATTGCTTGGGCTGGATTTAACGGTGTGAATAAGAGCCCTGAATGAAAAGCAAAGTAAGACTTTATTTTGCTGATTGACTGGACCTGATTATAGGGCCGGTCTAAACATACTTTAAGCATACTTCAATTAAGTTTTGTCAATTCTTAAGACAAAAACTCAATTCATGATTGTGCCCGTAATAACTCAATGAAATGTTAAATTTTCACCGGAAAGGTTCATTTGTTAGTTAATTATGACCAACACTACTAAAAATATATGAATTAGGGATGAGATGAATTTTACGGATGGAATTAGAGACAGAAAAAACAATTCATCCCTATTTGTGACAAAATTAGCGATGAAATAAATTCTATCTCTAATAGGGACGGATTTTGAGATGGAAAAATATTTTGTCCCTATTTGGGACGAACTTAGGGATGAAATATTTTCAATTTCTATAATCCGTCCCTATTAGGGACGAAATATTGTTTCTAAAATCTGTTCCTAAATCCTTCAAGAAAATCGACCTCGAGCTTTGAGTTTTTTTTGGCTAAACTAAGATAGTATTAGAGGTAGATCCTGTAACACCCCATATATATCTGGTAATGTTATCATACTATCGTATTAAGCTGCGCTTAATTAAAAATACGGAATATCTTTTTCTTTTCAATTATGATGTCATTAATCATTATCAACTTGATTACTTAACCATTTTCAAAACATCGCCTGTATGTATATTGCAATAAACAGCTAACTGAAATACCACATTGATTAAATAACATAAGTGTGAGTCTCTAGTCACGGAACTACAATACGTAGACCGGGCCATCTAACAGTTAATACAACTCAACTCAAAAGTACTAACAACACAGTGGCATGGACAACTCCCATGCTCACCCAAATAAGGCAACAAAGCCTACATAAGTCTCAACTCAACAACAACATAAAGATAAAGGCGGAAAACATAAACAGCATCCAATTCAGTAATGCCAGCATATAACATATAACAGCAATAATCATCAGCTAAGCTCTGGCCTCCTGCCGCCAGAGGCATCAGTCACCATACTACCGGAACCATACTACCTGAACCTGAAATAAGCATTCCCCAAACGTGGGGTGAGATCTCTAAACAAGAAATCTCAGTAAGACAAGGGGTCCTCAAGGATCTTCCACCCCAAGCTCACTTACATGTGCAATATAAGTTCAAAAGCAGTTTATCATCATCAGTTCCAAAATAGTGCAATGCAACAGATAATCATGTCATGTGTGTCAGTTCTATTCTACTGATCAAAGAAATACAAGAATACGTCTATTACCCACACAATATGCAAGACACTACTTGCACCCACCCACGGACTCACCATCTTGTATGACGCCATATACTCAGGCTTACCGACTAAGTGGAAACAACACATACATATTATAAGCCATTGCACATATCAGCTCAAAAGCATTTCAAAATATCCAAAGCATGTAACACAGCATGCATATAACCATACCCCCATGGGACATGGTGGAACCACAATATGGCTAAACCGAGGACGCGAAAGCTTACCTTGCAATCTAACACCCAAAGCCAAGAGTCCACAGCTCAAAGTCCGAACACAGCAGAATCACAATATGATATGGACCAATAATACGTCAACAATCATACTCTACAAGTATACAACATAAAGACAACGCCTTTTCATTACGTTTTACGTCTTAAGGCTCCTCACCAAGCCATAATCCCTTAATCCCATGATTCTGACTTACATTAATTAATTACAAAAGTTCAACTTCCTCAAATTAGGGTCCACAAACTCATAGATCAGTTCTACTTGAAATAAAAGGGTATTTGAAATATTATTGAATCGTATTTGAATATGTACATAGGGGTATCTATTTATAGAGACTTCTTGACCTAATTTTGACATAATGGGCTTGGCCCAATATACAAGTAACGGACTAAATAAATACAAATAAATGACTACATAATTACTATTTAATACAAATAAATGACTACATAATTACTAATAAATGATTACATAATTACTATTTACAACACTCCCCCTCAAGCTGAGGAATATATATTTATCATTCCCAGCTTGCTAGCAAGTTCTTGAAATCTATCTGAAGGAAGCCCCTTTGTCAATAGATCAGCTAATTGACGCCCAGTGGGAATGTATGGAGTGGTAATCAACCCGCTATCAAGTTTCTCTTTGATGAAATGGCGGTCGACCTCAATATGTTTAGTCCGATCATGTTGAACTGGATTATGAGCTATACAAATAGCGGACTTATTATCACATAGCAGTTTCATAGGTCCCTCACATTTTATTTTTAGATCATCAAGTACAATTTTCAGCCACAGTAACTCACAAATGCCTTGAGCCATAGCTCGAAATTCAGCTTCTGCACTTGATCTGGCGACCACATCTTGTTTCTTACTTCTCCATGTCACCAAGTTACCACAAAGAAACATGCAATAACCAGTGGTAGAACGACGCTCAGTCACGGATCCAGCATAATCAGCATCTGTGTAGACTTCTAAAGATAGATTGCCATCACGTCGGATTAACAACCCTTTACCAGGAGTACCTTTCAGATACTGAAGAATTCTCTCTACTGCCTGCATATGTTTCTCCTTTGGATCGTGCATAAACTGACTGACAACACTAACAGCATAAGCTAAGTCTGGTCTAGTATGGGCCAAATATATCAATTTCCCAACTAGCCGTTGATATTGTCCTTTATCAACTTGAGGACTCTCCTCTTCATAACCCATCTTGTGATTCTGCTCAATAGGAGTATTAGAGGGTTTACACCCGAGCTTTCCTGCTTCTTTGAGAAGATCAAGAACATATTTCCTCTGGCTGATAAAGATTCCTTTGCTCGAATGAGCTACTTCAATCCCTAGGAAATATCTCAGTTTCCCAAGGTCTTGACTTCAAACTCAGAGGCAAGCCGTGTTTGCAGAATCTGTCTCTCCACAAAATCATCACCTGTGATAATAATATCATCAACATATACAAGGAGCACAGTAAGCTTCCCATTTTGGGAGTGCTTGTAAAAAAGAGTGTGATCTCCTTGACTTTGTTTATATCCTAAGGTCATCATAACCTTAGTAAACTTTCCAAACCAGGCACGAGGTGACTACTTCAATCCATACAAGGCCTTTTTTAATTTACAAACTTTATTTTCTCCCTTCACAGAATCAAAACCAGGCGGAATTTCCATGTAGACTTCTTCTTCTAACTCACCATTGAGGAAAACATTCTTCACATCAAATTGGTTTATATCCCAATTGTAATGGGCAGCAAGGGATAACAAAACTCTCACCGTATTCATCTTTGCAACTGGAGCAAATGTTTCTTCATAATCAATGCCATAGGTTTGAGAGTAACCTTTGGCAACTAATCGAGCTTTGTATCTCTCAAGAGTTCCATCAGAATTATATTTCAGGGCATAAACCCATCTGCACCCTACTGCTTTCTTTCCAGTAGGTCTATCAATAACCTCCCATGTTTTATTTTTCTCCAATGCATTCATCTCCTCTTGCATGGCTTGAGCCC